ACTCTTGTATTTATTTACCATAGTGACACTCTGGCGCTAGATTCACTTGACAGTATTAATAATTATATAACAGTTATATAACAGTTAACTTATATATTTCGTTCATATTATAACTCATAATGCACAAAATTTATATCATTTAAAGAATAGAATTATCTAACCGTTGCCACATGTTCTATTCAAATACTATAATAAAGCTAGAATTATGTATAAAAGAAATTAAGCAAACAAAACAAAAAGAAACAGTCTTAACAGACGATTGAGTATTTCTCATTCAATTAATTCAGTTCTTACTTCGCAAGAAGGCAAAAATACATAAAAAATCAAAATATCTATATTAAAAATTACGAAGTAAATCTTAAACGCTTATTTCCTCGAAAAAATTCCAGAAGGGATTAAGCATGATTTAAATAATAAATGAAGCCGTTATCTTTATTGTTGCGAAGCTAAGTTTCTCTAGATTGGCAACAAATCCACTAGTCTCCTGTTTCAAATGTGAACATCAATGACCGCCATTAAAAAAGGCTTAGCGGCAATTAAACAACTTTAAAATTGCTGATAATTCTAAAAATATTGCACACAGATTTACTAAAGGCATAAAATCCTTAACTGGAAGATAAAAACAACATAATTCAATCATTTTTAAAGCAAAAAATGTAGAATTTACCAACATATAAGAGTAAGGAAACTGAGATCACTGAGCCAGGTAACAGAGTGGATATATATATAAATATATTTATATACGTTTGGTGCGGCCGATTGCAACCAAAATGCGAGGTGCACACATCATCTACATGTTATAGCAGTGTCCTATATACAAAATTTCAACGTTCTGAGGCTACTCGTTTTTGAGTTGTGCGAGATACGTACGTACGCACGTACGTACATACGTTCGTACAGACGCCACGAAAAATTCTCTTCAGAATTAATTTTAAAGCAGTTTTATAATTTTTTTGAAGGAAAAGAGTATTTATTCTGTCCTGTCCTTACGTACAGATATCACGCAAAATCATCGTTAAATTGCATTCGATAGCGGTCAAAATGGATATTTTCGTTGAAATATGCTGCCTGAAACTTTTCGCGATTACAATACTTCCTTTTTACTTCGTACAAGGAAGTAAAAATTCATTAAAGTTTTACAAAATATGAAATAGATAATAAAACAAATCTAAAATTTGGACTTCCAGATGCCCATATTCGAATGGAGGACTACTTTATTCAAAATTTGATGTCTCTAGGTACCGTTGTTTTTTCACAATGTAAGAAACATACATACATTCATGCAGATTCTTCATTATTTAATTTCTTTAAACATAATGCAGGGCTCTAATATTTGGTGGTAATAATTTAAAAAGTGATTTAGACTTTTATAATGAACCAACACAAAATAACAAAATGAAATTAATAATAGCCTTTCTGAGCTAATGCTCCTATGGGCTAAAAAAAAGGGGGGAGACAACGAGAAAGAAAAAGAGATGAAAATAAAGAAAATCTATAAGTATTCAGGTTTTAATATCACATCAGTGGATTTATTAATGTTTTCTTTTTCAAGCTCTCCATGAGCATCCCAGGTTAGCAATCTGGTCTTGGACTCACTCCTGCTGACACAGTTTTGTCTTTTTAGCTTTATAATTATGCACTGCTTTCTTTGCATTTACGTCACATAAAATCTAAGAGCAAAATCACAAAGTATTTAAAAAAAAAAAAAAACTCTTTAGAATTCTTGATGTGTTAAGGATTCCATTCATTTTATTACATTAACTATATTATTATTTTAAAAATATAGCCACTTAGGTGAAAAGACACTTAAAAAAGTTATCATAAAAAAAAGAAAAAAGTAAATAATGATTTTAATGAGTCCACCAGGGTCATTTCCTAAAAATATTTAATATTTCTAATTACACATTTCCTGATTTATATATCCTTTTATTTAAATCAAACAGATTAAATAGTAGAAAAAATACTTTTAAGTTTTGCATTTTATTCCTTTTCAATTACTTGGTTTGCTATTGAATGAGAGGAAGATTAAATCTGAAAGTTAAATAACTTATGCTTTGCAGAACATGTTGGTGCATGGAGATAATAAATATTCTATTTGAAGCAGTGACATCATACTGCTTTCAAATAACCGAATTTATGGATTACAGTTAAAAGATAAATATCTTACATTTTGCTGAATGGCACCAGTCTGGCATGCTGAAGATAAAAATGGCTTTATTTTGAACAGTTTTGCCCTTTCTTGCTTTCAAATGGCCGAGTTTGTTAAATTTGTACAAAATATGAAATAAATCAAATTCAAAACTCAGGCTTCAAGGTGCCTATGTTCAGGTGCAGGACTATGTGTATCGAAAATTTAGGGACTGTACGTCCATGGTTTTTCAACAATGAAAGGAACATAACAGATTCTTCATTATTTATTTTTTTAAATAACACATTGTGATAACATTTGGTGGCAACAACTGAAAAGTGATTCTAGCACAAAAGTGAGTTGAAAACTACAACAATAGCATAGAAACAATGCATAAGGGAAGACAAATACTTTTTCGACAATGTATAAGTTTTTTAGTATTCTTTGTTCAGCTATCACAATGCAAATATATTGCTCTTATTTTATTGATATTTCATGTTTCTAAATCTTGAGCCATTACTTACTCCCATAGCACCACAGGTTGTATTTCAATACTCTAGCATTGGAATCCTGAATCAAATTATATGGGATATTCAAAATCTGCAAACTTTTGCATTCTGTCTTCAACTTAACAGGGTTCAATCTTTTCCCCAGATCTATTTCAGTGTCACTATTAAAAATTCAATCTAATACTTCTGACCACTCCATCCAAATGAGATAAGTATTAAGATAGAATTTTTAGAGTTGATACCCGTCAGAAGTTCAGAGGTCTCAGATTTGGAATTTTTATGGCTATTAGATCATCAGTTTAAGTCTAGTAAGATATCATGTAGAAATTATAAAATTAAAAATATGAAATAGTTGTTTATGAAATAATGAATCATTCATAATCTTAGGTAAGTAATCAAAATTTACTTACCAAAAAAATCTCAATATTTATTTGTTTGCTTTATTAAACATTTCTTTGAATGCAAATTGTTTAAAATGCTTCATTTTTTGTGCTAATATCAAGTCCGACTGTTCAAGTTCTGCTATTGCAGAGTTCAGAATTCCTATTAAATTGTCAATCGACTTTTTTTTTTTTTTTTTTTCTAAACAACCTCTTGTCACTTTCTTCACTGTCTATATTTTCTAGATTTAGAACCATACTACAGATTTTGTTGTCTGTTAGTTGACTTTGGGATTTATCATTGCAATGAAAAACTTGTTATATTACCTTCATTTATTATCACTTCTCCACATTTCTTCAATTAATTTGAAAATTTAGCTCCTTGTTTGTGATATTTGAGAAGCTTCAGATTCATGACTATTATCATAAAGCTTAGCTAATGTCCACTGTACACTATTAGTGATGTGTTACAAAATTGGTGACTAAAGACATGTTATTTCACTATTTATTTTGTCTTGCTTTTATCCCACACTCATGAAGCTAAACTTGAATTATTTTAAAAGTTAAACCTGAATTTTAGCTATTTATTATACTTAAACTTATTTCCAATACATGCTAAAGACTTATCTGAGTCCTGAATAAATAAATTCCCAGATAAAGGCTTATCCAGAGGCTAGATATTTTGCAATACGGGGCAGTTTCTGAGATCCCAATTTCTACTGCCAAGCATCTCCCTAAACTCTAAAAATCTTACTACCTCTAAATTTTTTAATTTCTTAATTTTATTGCTTTGCACTTCCCTAGAGTCTAAAAATTTCCCTTTTCCTAAATTCTGCCATTTGGTATAGCTGCACCAGCTCTGGCACTGAATCTGAGGTCACCAGAATAACAAATTAGTCTCAATTTAAACATTACTATACGTAACTCTTTAGCCTATGAGGATCATTAATAAAAACTTTTTTTTTTTTTTTTTCGCATATGGAAAGAAACTTTCTTTAAATTTCTTCTCATCGACAGACTCAACACTTTCCAAGTCTCTAATCATCACCAAGGATGATGTCAACATAAAATGTTATTAGCCTCTTTCGTATTCAATTACTAATATTAAAAAAAAAAAAAAAAAAATGTTTAGACATCCCTGCATGCATGTTGAAATACAGGCAGTGACAAATTAAAAAAGAATAATAATAAAATAATTAAAAATGATTGCGAAGTTGATGTTAGGGATGTACTGAAGGAAGCAGCTAGTCTGCCTGGCCTTATGACATGAAATTAGCTGATACAAATTGTTAAGTAGATGTAAAATAAACCATGTTTCAATGTAAAATGTTTTGATTTGAAATGTATGCAAAGCAAAAGACAGCTATGGAACCAAATTATTGATAAGATTTATGGTAATAATTGGTTTTTTCAATATGGAGGTATTTTATATAGTACTGATGTAAAATTAAGGATCGCTACTCTCTCCACATTTTATTATGGAAAAATATCAAATGTGCATGAATAAAATATACTATAGTACATAGTATATACATATGCATAAAGTATAAAAAATAAGGTTGCTGATGGTTTGGAGGTCTGACTTTCAGATTATTTCGGATATTCGACGAACAGATTTTAGACTTGGTATGGTAATTAGATTCTATACAGTACATATAAAATTTGGCTTTATTAATTAGAGAGATATGCCATAATATGTATCACAAAACTACAATCTAGGAAAATACATTTAATACACAAAATTATTTCATCATATTTTGAACTGTTCGTTAAGTTTACATTTCTAAAATTTGTTACTATTTTGTAAAATAAATTTATACATAAAATAAACTTACTTCACATTAAATCAAAATCTAATATTCAAATATGCCAGAATAATTCATCAATAGTTTTACAGTCACACTTTTCATGGAATAAAAAGTTAAACACTTTTTATATACAGTGATCTTACAAACACAGGAAACCAATAATATATAAACTTACATCAAGCAACCCCCCATATCGCAAAACTGTCAATAATGAATGAATATGACTTTCACTTGTGAAATACAAACGTGTCCTCACATGTCTTTCTGGAGACGACACACCATGGGAATACCTAAAATACAGAAAGTGCAAAAAACTTATTATTTTTTTTTAATACAGAAAGAAAATTTTACAATATATAATCTAATCAGAGAAACCTTTCTTACAATTAAATGAAATACTGTGAAACTAAAAAGTACATTTTGTTTTAAAACACTTTTCTAGTTAATGAAACTACAGAATTCAATGACTGCTCCAAAAAGTGATTACATTTTTTTTTGTCATCATTTATATTTATTTTCATATACTAAATAATAGATCAACAATTCTTTTTGAAAACAAAACACAAACATGGCTAGTATTTTCGTGCATTAAGCTGCAGAAAAATTAATATTAAACACATAAAGTAAGAAATTTAGAACTAATATTTCACAAAGACCAGAAATTGAAGTTCATAATTAATAAATTAAGGCCTGGTGGCGCAATGGCTAGTGCATCGTGCAGCAGCACCACAGGTCCGGGGTTCAATTCCCGGGCTGGGCAAGGTCATCTCAGCCTTTCATCCCTTGATTTCCATCACTTAGGTTGATAAAATGAGTACCAAGTTCGCTTGGGGACTAAATACTGGGGGTCCTGTGATCAAGCTGACCACTTGTTCAGGACATATGCTTACGCACCCCGGGGCCCATGGTCAAGAAAGCAGATTTCGGACACTGCAGTCTTGTCTCATTACTGCTGTTACGCCACTGAGTTTAATTTGATTAATAAATTAATTTTGCTCGTTTGAAATGTTTTGGTTTTAACATTTTAAAATTCTTTGTTACATTTATATGATTATTAGAAATTTATTATGAATTTCAATTTCTGGACTTTGTAAAATATTAGTTCTAAATTTCTTATTTTATGTCTTATACATATATATTATATAAATATTACCAATAAGAATTTTAATACATATGTATAAATATTATTTCAAAGTGATTTTTGGGAAGGAAAAAAAAAACTTACTGTGGATTTAATCTATTTACATTTTCTGTTTCATCAGCAGAAGGATCTATGTTTCGATGAAGATCAGCTCGAATCTTTTTTAAAAGAGGAGTACATATCCCTAAACCAATAGTGAGCTTCTCTTGCTGATTTATGCCATATTCCTAATATTAAAAAAAAATTTTTGAATGCAGCTTTATATACTTAGTTAAATTTGTCCTTATAGTGACATTTTTAATAATATATTTATTAATATTCTTTTTCATTTGACATTATATAATATTGTTGAAATATTTTAATGATAAATAATATGTATAACTATTTTACAAATAAAAATAGATTTAGATTCTAGAAATGATATTTTCGACATTTTGTTTACTTATGTGTCTATCCAAATCAATCATTAGCAACAAAATATTTAGCAGAAATGCAATAATAATTATCTTTAAGAAGAAGCACAATGATCAGTTATATACTTTGTTACAAAATACATAGCAAAACTTCAGTAATTTATATAACTTTTGAGAAGTTCTGATTGCTTTCCCTGATTAATGACACTGAAATTATTTTCTCTGTATATCTTTCTCATTAAACTGAAATTCAGTATTACTCCTGAACGTCATCTTCACAAGCAATTATACTCTTGCTGTTGCAAGTATTTAAAAATGCACTTTATTACCAGTTTTATAGCTTACACTTTTATGTTTTAAAACATTTAAAATTTCCTTTAAGAATTAAAAAAATCTTTAACATATTGTGTTTGTAACACTGTTTACATACATTTTTTCAAGAAATATTCTTGTTGTTAAAAGAAAAATTAGAATTACCAATGTAAAAATAAATAAATATATATAAAAATATTAACATTATTCATAAATTTAGGGAGATGAGAAACATTTTTCTGAAGCAAGTATTACACATAAGTGCTTTTGAAATATATACTACAGGATTATAATATTTAAGTAGAAATTTGATTGGAATATCCTTTACTTATTACTGGTTATACATCTTAAAATGAACTAGTTGAAAGTCTCTAGAATACTCAAAGTTACTTATCAGAAAACTAATTAACATTTGAAATAAGTTCTGAAACTTAATGATGATCTGCAATAAAATATTCACATTATAAACTTATTTGAGTACTTTCTGATTTGTCCACAAAACTTTTTAAAGTACTGAAAGTTTTTCCACTACTTTGTTAGCTGCAGCTCCCATTACTAAATCATCATCTTTCTTCTGATTTGTTATTTTATTATAAATTACATTATATATAGAAAAAGAAGAAACATAAAGGTTGGTTTTACACACTCTGGTATAATGTTTTTAAACAGGTCACTAATCATTGATTTCAAAACATGAATTAATTGATTCTGCACCATAGAATTGCGTTATAAACATCAGAATAAGCAAAAAGCTTTCAAAAGAAAAGATAAAAATATAAATATTCGTTTTTCAATAGGATACAGTAATTGGAAAATGTTTCTCTTGTCAAGCAATCTTTTTATTTTCAGAGCACTTTGCTTCAGTTTTACACTTACGTTTTGAAAATTACCAATTGAATTGCTCCCATGTGCAAAAATTACTTAATTTTTCTCACATCTATTTTGAATAGAGGCCATAGTAACTACATCTCCATTTACTTTAGGTATTTTACAACTTTCAATATAGCCTATTATATTAACTCTAGAAGCATTTACTTCTAAAAAAATGTAAGAAATGGATTCCATTGGTTGAGGATTCTAGATAAACATTTCTCTCAGCATGCATATATACATTTGCATTTTTTTTTTTTTTTTTTTTAATTTTAGTATTCTACAGCTGTTTGAATTGTTTCAATTTTTTCTTTATTTCAGAACTCTTTTCAAGATAATAGTAAACATCAACAATGTGTTCACCAACACTTATTGGTAAAGAATCTGTCCCTTTTTCAGCTGCAGTATTTAAGAGGTGACAGGTGTATCTCATAATTTGCAAATATGAATTTTCCTTTTCTAAGATGCCTGCAATACCAATCTTCAGCCTACCATTATTGGTGCATTGTCAGCTAAGCAATTATCGAGAGGAATCGAATTTTCTTTTAAAGTTTTACTAATTAGCCGTGCTATATTAAAGCCTGTAGGGACAGAAAGTAAATTACACTCAACTTCTGAAGACACTGGATTAAAAAAAAAAAAGAAACAACACCTGGGTGCAGTTTTGCATTGGTATTATTGCTTCCACCCACAGAGAGGAAAAACAGAACTGTTTTAATGAAATCAATAACTGAAGATTTACTTTTCATATCCATTTCGTTAACAACTGTAATTTTCATTCTTGCACTTGAGTATTTCTTAGCGATTCTGCTATTAAGAAACATTTTTCTAAATAAAGCTGGAGCATGGTCCGATGTATTTACTGGCAGGATGTACTCCATTAAAAATTCTGAGAATAAGCATGCTGAATTAATACATTTTGCTCCTTCATTTCCTCAGAAATTTTAAAAATTTTTCAACCATAAGTCACACTGTCTTTGTGTTTTTGTATATACATATGTTTAAGAACATCAGCCCTCCCGCTGTGTGAAATAAAAAAATTGCAGTGACAAATGGTACACATTGCAAATATATTAAGATTTCCTCAATGAAATAGTGGATGGAAAGTTAACCATGTACAATTTTTGAAATGTACATGAGTATTTTACATTTTTTGAAGACATAAGATCGCAATGCTCGGTGAAACAAGCAAAATAACAACTTCAATCTTGCTTTATGCTCATTGGCTAAGATATGCCAAATGACCCACAGTGGCACTTGATACTCATTGGAGAATACGAACATGACATTTTCAGATACACATGCTTGCACACACAATACAGAAGCATGCCATAATATTTCTCTGATGAAATGACTTTGGTTTTCTATTATATGTAGCCAAAATTCATTTTTTAGGTTCAAATAACAAAGTATTAAATCAAAAAACACGGGAAATTTTAAGAGAGTATAAAGAGAAAGATGGGAAAAATACAAGATGGTTATAATTTAAGTTACTCAATTTAGACTTATGTAGAACCATTTCTGATACAACTATTTCCCTGAAACTTGGTATATATGCCATATGAACCACGGAGAAAAGAAATTTGCACTAAAAATTAATAGTTAACGTTTTGAAAGACAGATATGCAACATAGAAAGGATACTATGCAAATTTGGAGCATTTTATAAAACAAGTAGGAGATGCTATTAAATAATTTTTCACCATGCCCATAGAGAACAGAGATCGAGCTTTACTCATCAAGTTGTTTTATCAGAACGGCAGTAAAACTGCACTGAGAATACTGATGCTTGAAAGGCTTATGAAAAGAACCTACAATGCAAGAGGGTTTGAAGAAGATGATTACTAAATTTGAAGAGTCCAAGAAGTTGTGTATGCTGTGAGGAAAAGAACAGAAACGTATTTCAAATGTAGGCATAGCAGTTGCTATTCCTGTTCCCAGTATTCTTCGACAAGTATCTGAGCCATATCACATGATTTGTATCCCTCTTGATCGACAGTAATAAAAGGTTCTAAGATTCCATTGTAGAGCGGTATTTATACAAGATCCGATTCTGCAAGAGCAGTATCCTACAAACTTGAACAAACAAACTAGTTTTGTTTGACATTTGGCCAAAATAGTTGTTGACAATGAGTCCCCTTGGAACATTTTGTGATTGGATGAGTTGCATTTTACCCTAAACGATAAGAGTTAATACTCAAAACTGTTGCAAATGGGGTACTGCAAATCCTAATATTGAGCATGTATGGTCTCTGCATCCTGATTACATTTACTGTAGGGCGTGTTTTTATTGCTGATTTCACTTTTGGACCTTCTTTCTTTGAGGAGAATTCTCAATCAAAGCTATTTTAGGTTCCATCAGCAGCAATTCATTCCTGTCTTACAAAAACGAGAATTTTTAGAGCCAACTATCTTGATGCAAGATTTTGCAGCACCTTCACATTGTTAGACCAGTAAAGACACTGCTTTGTGCCCCCATTGGAGATGATTTTATAATTTCAAAAAGCTTTCCTATTTCCCAGGCTCCTCCTTTTCCAGACTTGAATATCTGTGAGTTCAGGTTGTGTGGATTCTTGAAAAGTCATGACTATGCAGGAAGCATATGGATTGTGCCTGACTTGAAAATAAGCATAACATGTCATGTTGCTACAATTGATCAAGAAACCCTTCATACTACTGTTGAACGTGATGTAACATGCTTTGAATATATAACTGATGCAAGTGGAATTGCACACTGAACAAATGCTATGATTAAATAAAGTTTTGTGTTTCTAATTTGTGTTTTTTGTTCTTCAAGCATCTCCTTTCATCTGGTGGTTGAAATTTGAAATATAATTTTTTATTGTGGTCCTTTTCCCCATTGTCCATAAAACATATATACCAAGTTCAGATGAAATAATTCTACCAGAACCAAATTTATGTAGGTCTAAATATAACCACCCTGTATGCTGTAAATCATGCTGACGGGAGTGAAGTCGGATATTTGGGAATCTCCTAGCTTAATCATTAAAATTGGAAACTGTGTATTCATTATTCAGTATCAGTTAATGTAAAATGTGTGATCATAGGCAAGATGACTATGAATATAATCTCATTTATTTATTTATTTGTGCCATTTATCTCAAGTAATATAATCTCATTTGAATCAAGAAAATTTACTATCAAAGATCCACATTTCATTTAAAAACTGAATATGCAAGTTAACAAAAAGAGGTAGATGATAATTATAGCTTAAACATGAAATATCACAATGTTTAACAAGCAAGGAATATTATTTACCTGAGGTATAACTATGTCTGCCAATGCTTTAGCATATATATAAAGCTCCTCTGCATGTGGAAATTGAAGGTTGTGATGATTATGCTGCAAATCATATTTAATACAATCATATATATCAGGAACTTTACTAATGTCAAATTTCCCAGATTTTAGTTTGAAATCCTTCTCTAATTTTGACCATCTCCTTTGCATTAGATCCCAAGTTTCCCCGTGATACAATGGAGCCTCTGGAATAGAAATTTTATTCAATTGACCAATTCCATGCAATAAAAGTACATTAAAAAAAGGGCCACCTAAATAAGAAGATATTGTTGTAAAGGCCACAATAACGATGCTGGAAACATAATAACAACAACAATAAAAAGAGGAGAGAAAAAGGAAAGGGGAGAGAAAGTGACATGTGTTTAGAATCAAGAGCAAGATTTATAGAAAATATTCTATATAACATTGAAAAAAATAATTAATAAGTATTAGAATAATTACATTTAAAATGCTCTGAATGTCATGAAATAATTTATTTCACCATTCATATAAGTGGAATGAAACCTCAAACTGGAAAAACATGCTAATGTAAAATTTAAAGTTGGAAAGGGGGAAATTTTTGTCTGTGGCATAGATTTTTTAATAAAATTTTAATGATTTTCTCTGGAAATTTCTTTTTTTCTAGAAATAAACCCAATATGAAATTAATAGGCTATTTAATACTACATTAATATATATATATATAAAAAAAAAAAAAAAAAAAAAAAAAAAAAAAAAAAAACAATTGCTTCCAAAATTAGACAAATCATCTATGATAAGCTATGGAAAGAACGTTTCATTCACCAATGTTTATGAAAAGAGGTTTAAAAGGTTAAATATTTAAAGTTGATGAGAATGGCATTAACAACAAACTCCTAGTTTATTTTTTTAAATATAACAAAGCACACAAGGGTTAGTCGTCTAAGAGGAGGGATGCCTTAACTTTTTAATGGAAACTGACTACTATTATTCATGTTACACATGAGGACCGAGATCCCACTAGAAAGAACATAATTAATGCATTTTCTGGCCTTTTATATCTTCATGTACATGTCACATTTTTTTCCTATTTTATATATATATATATATTAAGTTTTCAATTTTTATTAAATTTTTTTTTATTATTTGATTTGTTTTTGTAAAGATAGCATTGTTTTGTTTCTTAATTTTCTAATGTTTATTTCAATTACTTTGAGTTCTCTTTCATAATTCCAATTAAGATTGCCACGGTTTAATTTTTATACAAATAATTTTCAATTAACATGCATAAAAACGAGGGTGTTGGGGGACATTTACTCAAGTATTTTATAAATTTTCCTAAACTGCTTTTCACTCAAAATCTTCTATTAGCAAAAATGCTTAATTCAGAATGAGTTCTTTGGTACTCTACTTTGGTTCTAAATCCCACCACTTCACAGAACTACAATTTTGGCCTAACTTAATTTGCCAGACTGGCATCACCATTCTTACTTTAGTAAAAGACGAAACACCTTCGCATTTATTAATTATTGTTCATTGAATGGGAGTTGGTTTGTTCCCCTTGAAAAAACGACTAATTTGCGATCAATAGCGATAATTACTTGCTATTAATTTAATTTCTGTTTCAAAGATTGAAATTTTTAAATTCAAGTCCCCATAAAACATTTTGATAATTTACATGCAAGTTACTTTAAAACGCAATTTTTGGAATTAAACTTCCTACGTATGGCTTCCCTCTTTTTTGATAATTCTACTAAATTTATTAGGAAATAATATAATCAATATTCCGTTAGTATATATATATAAATATATTTAAGAAATGAGTAATTTCTTCTAATTAACTAAGTAAATCTTAATAAAATTATTTATAAATGTGGCTGAAAATGAATGATTTATTCATTCAAAAACTCCCATGAATGTTATTATTATCAAGAAATCTAGTTATTAACAGTATTATTGATAGATATAAACTATTTAAGCAGGAATTGCAATAAAATTAAAGTGTTTATTAAAGTGTTATAGAAAGCACAGTACATGAGATGCAATGTATACTTAAGTTATAAAGTAGAATGTTTTTAACGTAATTGTCGAACACAACTCAAGTTTCATAAATATTAATAATTTTTTCCACCATCCCTCTCTTTAACTCTCGTAGAAAGTAAACTAAGTGGAAATCAGAAATCAGCAGTAATATTTAACTATTAAAGAAAATAGTGCTTTAATTTGATGAGAGAATTAATTATACTGTAAATATGGTTTTTGATTCAAATGCCTTTCAAAAAGCTAAAAATCATCACATCTCATATTTAAGAAATGCAAAATCATTAAAAATTTTAATGGAAGAGAAAAACGACACAGTAAAATTTAAAATCATGCCCTCCTCCAAATAAACCTTAGAATGACATCAATTTTGAATAAAACTATATAAATTTTGATGGCAAATAGATACAAGTCCCTCACCTTCAGCAAAATTTTTTTTGCATAAACACTTTTTTTTTTTTTTTCGCCTGAGGAGAAGGGACCTATGCCTGATCACCTTCAAAATAAAGTTTTATTCAATATCTATTTTGCGTAATTTAAAATTTTTAAACCTTTGAAAGTCTTATTAGCTGATATATTAAGTTGCCATAAGACTGAATTAAGCCTCTAAAAATCATAGCCGTTAGTCCTTATAAGATAATGAAATTTCCTATTTAAATGGTTTTGTCCTAATGTACCCAAACTTGTATTTTTTATACAAAAAATATTCATATACTTTTCCTCCAAGTGTATAAAAAAGAAATAAATAAAAACATAAGAGTTTTTAAATTTCTAAGCATTTTTGACATTACTTTACCCTACATGTGATAAAAAGCACAAAAATTAGACGTTGAGAAAACTATTCAACAATAGCCTTTTGCTGTATAATTTCACATACCAGCGCTATTGAGAACATATATCAACTTAAAGAGAAAGCTGCAAACAGAATGAAAAATACCTTGTAATCTTGGATCCTCCTTTTTTCTTTTAATAAGAATATTCAGCTGCTGTACTAAATCATACACATGCTCACAGGCTTTGACAGGATTTTTTATGAATTGAAGAGCATTGTGTATTGACCTTGCTTTTGTAGGATTTAACTAGAAAAATATAATTTTCTAACAAATTATTCAAAATTTTTAAATGAATACTGTGCAACAAACAGCACTCAATAAGAACATTAACACATTTTTTAAAACTACCAGAACAAAGAAAATGAAGGAGCACTCTAATGCAAAAACTCTAATGGATAATTGAAGATAATTTTACAAACAATTTCAACATACAATTTTTGAACCAGCTCATAAATGTTAACATTAAAAAATTTTACATACAGTACAAAGTCCGAGATCCAAACTTGTTTGAATTTGATTCAATGGTTCCAAATTTGATTTTTTTCAAATATTAGATCATCAGTTTAATCTAGTAAGATGGCATGCAGAAAATATAACATTACAAATACAAAATAGTGATTTATGAAATAATGAAGCACTTACGACCTCAGGAGTATCAGAATTAAAAAAAAAAAAAAAAAAAGGTTAATATTTATGTGTTTGCTTTATTAAACATTTATTTCAATGTACAGTGTTTAATTTGCTTTGTTTCTGGTGCTAATACTTCCTTCGAATTTCTATAGGCAGACGTTTTCCATTCTCAACAACTGTTTTTTCACCTTTTTTACTACTGGAAGCGATGTTTTTTCTGATTTAGACACATACTACAGATTTCAGCATCCGCTAGTTGATTGATGACAGGGGAACTGTCATCGCAATAAAAAGCTTCTGCTATATATCATCTTCATTTATTACCACTTCTCCCCATTCATTAATTGCAAAATTTTGCTTTTTGTTTGTGACGTGAAAATCTTCGAATTCGCAGCTATTACCACAATGCTTCGCTAGAATTCAATAAACACTATTGTGAATGTGTCATGAGACTACCAACTAAAGATATGTTGTTCTCTAAATTTTTTCTTGCTTTTATTACATGTTAATGAAGTTAAGCATGAGTTATGTTAGTTTAGTTATTATACTTATGACTATTTCCTGCACATTCTTAAAGCTTATCAGAGTCCTGAATAAATAAATTCCCACATATACTTAAGACCTTATCCAGGGCCGGCACTAGACATTTTGTGGCACAGTGCAGACAGTTCTGAAATTCTGCTGCTAAGCACCTCCCTAAGAAATTTCTGTTAAATTCCTCTTCATCAACACGCTCAAGTTCAAGCAGAATTAGCTGAAATTCATAATCATTGTCAAAAATAATATCAAAATAAAGGGTTACCATACTCTTTGGTACTCAGTTACTAATATTTTTAAAAAACATTTAGTTATTTCTCAAGCTGCAGTAGGTCGATAGTCAGAGAGCAAATAATAATAATACAGATTCACCAGGTTGGCATCAGTAGCAATGTCAAATTGAGAATCGAGACTCTCCACATTTTATTATGAAAAATTATCAAAAACATCAAATGTGCAAGCGCAAAGCATAAAAAAAATTTCTTTGAAAAATAAAGGTTGCTAGTGATTTGGAGGTTAGGATTTTAGATCATTCCGAATACTGGACAGCCGGATTTTGGACTTTGAACTGAATAATATGTATAGAATTGTTTAAAAAGAAAAAAAATATGCACAAGAAAAAAGTAAATCATAAATAAATGCAGATTATGCATTAAGGCAGACATTCATCCAAATTATAAGAAAGCACCATCTTTTTATTCCCAAATAAATTTATGGAAAAATTAAACAAAACTTACATGCTCTTCCTGTATGGAGAAAAAAGGAAGACTGAATAAGTATAATTGAACAAACAGAGATACAGCACTGGTTTAAAACTGTGCTGTTTTATATATCTTATATTGTGTATTAGTTTATGTTCATTTCTATTAAGCAAAAAATGTATTTAATTAAAAAATCATTTTAAAAATATTTATTTCTCAGAAGTATTTACAACTAAAACAACCTTTAGAAAAGGCAATAAGTTAGAAATACAAGGAAAAATTAATTTAAACCAAAGATACGCATTTCAGGAAAACAAGAAACATAAATATATATAATCATTTACAAACCTTTTCAAAATCATCTTCTGTAAATTCTCTATCAATCTGTAGCGTATTGTGAAGTTTTTGTTTAACCCTTAAAAGTAAATAAATACATAAACATCATTTCTAATAACAAAAATATAAAATACAACCACTTTCAGTTAAGGTACTTACATGTTTTGGTAATTACTAGAATCACAGTCATTATCAAGTAACCCATTAGTGTTTGCACTTTTAACCATCTGCACTAAAATAGGAGTCAATTCCCCTTCCAAAGCTAGAAGACCCTATAAAATGAGTAAATACAGATATCAGATGGAAGTGTGGTCGTGGTCAACTATGAGGCATCTTGTACCTCAGAATTTTATAATGATGACATATAAATTTCCTGATTTCCTTAAATTCACAGTAAGAAAAGTTTTATTTGTAAAGAACTATGTAGCTAAATGCCTAAAAATATATTGCTTTGAAAAAAAGTGATGAAAGAAACTGAGAACTGGACATACAATGTTGTTTTGCATTTGAAATTGGTTTATGTGCACAGAAAAAAAAAGGGAAACAAGTTTTGTCACAGTTACATTAAGTTCTACTATCAGGGCATTTATAATCTATGCAACCTGATATTAGTCATCATTCTGCAAGGCATAAGATCAACTATTATTATGCAAAAGGTCTGTCAAACTGGCCAATTATCAAAGATGTTATGAAGTAATGTTCCATAACATTTTAAATTTATCTTTCAAATTAAAACAGAGCATTGCATTACTAACTGAATAATTTAGAAACAATATATGCACTTCATAATAATTTACATTTTTATTTTTGAATTATATCTTTAAATGATGCTACATTTAAATACATCTCACTGCTAATTCTTACACATTAGCAGCATTTTTGCAATTCACTGTTTCAATACACACGCAAAGGAATTATTAATCATTTTAATTTTCAAGGAGGTGAAAGGAGGCTTCAGATTTCAAAGGAGCAGTACAATTCACAATATTTTCACTATAAGATTAGACATGACTTATTCAACATTTCAATATACTAAACTCAAAACGGATCATGCTTTGCATTTCATTTCTCCAAGTAACATCAATCCTGAGATCATATTTAGCAGAATGAAGTTTTAGTGAAAATTGTAAGCCAACATCTATTTACAATTTTAATTTTAAGAGACCAATAATTTGCTAATCTTTTCACTGCCATGAGCATACTGTCACTAAAACTAATTCTATTCAGCTCTATGCATCCATAAATTTCAAGTATTGCAAACTGATATATCCAACAAAAGGAAGAAGGCAGATTGATAATATATACTATAAGGAATCACTACTATTAATTATTATACTATACGAAAATATACTGTACTTATTGGTTCAGCAAGGCAACCCTGCATTTTACAGAATATATTATTATAGTTTCAGTAGTAAAAGATTAATATTAAGCTGATATACTAAGAAGTTTATTATCATAATTACTACACAGTTACAGAAATATATTCATCACATGCACTTAAAATTCAGTTCAATTAAATAAAAATAAACAGTTTTTAAAATTCTTCAAAGTGTATACATGGTAGTGAAATTTAAAAGTTTTAAGTACTTTAGCAAAAGCTGCAGCAGTCATCTGAACTCTTCCTTCATCAGATGCATATATTTTTAAATCATGTCGATAAGTGCTGTGTAGGCGAAGTAATCCCAAACCTTGAGTACCAGCATACTCACCTTAAAGAGAGAAAATTTGAGAATGCAATGCAGAACAAAATGAAATTTTCTTTTAAATTTAATAACTATAACTGGACTATAAAACTGATAAGGCGATATAAGAAACTATTCAAAGTTGAATATACAAATATTTAGGAACACCATCTGCAAAACCATATATTTCAATATTTTATATTGACAAAAATTTTACCCTCAAAATGTATCACACTTTATTTTTAAATGCACAGGTAAAATGTTATATAAAATACTCAACTGAAAATAAGATCAGTATTTAAACTAATAGTTCCAACTTAAAAGTTCATAAACGACAATATCTACATAACAGTTTATAAAATCTGAAATGTCTCTGAAATAATATGATATTTAAAAATTTAAAGAATTTTGAAATATTTATTGAGAAATTTTCGACATTATATTAGGCAGTCACACATGCATGCATCTGCATATAAAACAAAACATATGAAAACTAAAAATTTACAATTTAGTACATAACAGAACATAATAAATGGCCATAAATATATTACACTATTTTTAAATTTTTGATTACCCAAAACATATTAGCAGATATTACAGTAGATTACACTTGCAAATTTAATAGGACATGAGCATAAAAAAATTATGAACTATTTGAGTTTTACTCCCTCAGTTTTACTTTCAGGAGCCTTTTGAAAATTTATTTATTTCCATGCACATTAGAAGTTTATAAATTCAGAGCTTTCTGTATACATTAAAAATGTACTGATTTCAAAATATCAGAAATATCTAATAGCTAAATTAAATGCAGTTAAATATGCAGCAGTGATATGAAATGTTTAAAAAGGATTGCAGAAGTAAAAATGCATTTACTTATTTGTTGAAGAATCTTGGTTCTAATTTAAGGAAGGTGCCAAATACGGAAAGCATTTAGATAACAATTTTAATCACATGAGAATTAATAAAAAGTACATAGTAAATATGGCCATCTTACTTCCCCCCAAAAAAAACCCAATGAGAATTTTTTTTTCAAACACTAGAATTAATAAGCGCGAGGAGTCCTCATATGATCAAAATTACCCAAAATGTCATTAAAACTCCTGTGGCCTCTATACAAATAGCTCTACATACCACATACATGAAGATTTTTAATGGACATTTAACAGCATATAAACAGAAATATATACAAATGTGAAACTCTCATTAGTAAAAATATTTATTAGTAAAACATTTATTAATCAATTTTTAAAATATTCGTTACTAAACACAGTTAATTTTTACATCATTACGATTAAAAAAAAAAAAAAAAAAAAATTCCATATAGGATTTTATAAATAATATAGAATATCACAGTTTTTAAGCTAATTTTGCATAATAAATGTTTTTTCCCAAAAATATTTTTTATAAGACAAACAAATCGGAAAAAAAAAAAAAAAAAAAAAAAAAAAAAGAGAGAGAGAGAGCAACTAAGAACTTTCCCCACAAAAAAGCTTATGTGAAAATTTTTATATTTTGTATATTTTTACTTAATTATATCACAAGACTAAAGGTGACAAAATCTGAAATCGTGCATTACTTCTTGACGCCGAATAAATTTAACAAATATTAAAATTTGAAAAATTGATATTTAAAACACTTATTTTTTTACAAACAACATGTTTGTGATCACTTTTTAAGTTGGACTATAAATTTATGACAAATTATTGAAATTTTTCAAAAACTCTATACATTAAAAACTTAAGTATTAAAATTTTCAAAATAAGCTTAAACCTCCATAAGTTCTTACATGATTGGAATACATACAAATGTAATTTACACCATATGTAAAAGAATGCGGTATATAATGCCTTTACCATTTTCCCTTAATGGCCACAGACGTTATCATTATTAATTTATTTTTAAAGAAAGGAATTCGAATTTCATGGCAAGTAATGCTAAATAAAAAACCAAGTTCATTTACAGTTTAAAAATTAGCTGAAAAAAAAATTTTTTTTTGGATAAACTCAGACCCTCCCCCCCCTCAAATTAGAATGCACAGAATTAAAAATGCGATATTCATATAAAATTTTATTTTCCTGAAAAATAAGTACTCACCTTAATTTGTACAGATGTTTAACAGCTAATGAATTTTCTTTGGGTTTAAAAAAGCTCAAAGGTTTAGAAAATTTATAAAAAATTACAATTGAGTAAATTTCAATTATATTTTTTAAATTATATTTTATGTAAAACATATACAGATACACACACACATACAAATATCTTGTCCTCAAATGAAAACATACCATCTAGATGATAAAGCCTGCAAATGTCAAAATACTTGCAGCAATAGCTATACATAAACAATGATTTAAAATTGTACAATTACATGAAAAATCAGCAGAAAAATATGATAGCATAAGCAGTAGAGTTCATTCATTATGTAATCAAGTATTAGAAGGAATCAGTAATTAATCACAATGAGTATAAAGACAAGCTTCATACAAATTTGACACAACGAAATACATAGATATAACAACAGCTACTTAAGAAACAATTTCAGAAAGAGCTTCTAAAATGTTTCCTTTTTAATCACTCTGCCTTACTTGGCCACACTGTGATTAAGCTATGACTTTAATAATATCATAATACTGATATTATCCCAAAACATTCTTACGGCTGCAATTACTCCACCCTTTTGCATACCAATAATGCAGCCTTGTTCGAACCCCATTAATTGTTGGCATGACATCCTCCGCTGTTGATGTGGTATAT